CGTTAAATACGTTATGTCTTATTTAGTACTTTAGACGAAATACAAATTATACTTCCAGGTAATGAAAAATTTATATAATGAAAATATTAAAGAACGAATGGCAGCTCTTTAACACTGTAGTCTCTATTAAAAAATAAGAAATACGCATTATACTCACAGGTAATGCAACAGATGAAATGTGTGAGAAATAAGATATTCAGAGCATAAAGGTTGTGGTGTGAGGAACAAAGCAACAATGGAGTAACATCTGAGACATAATTAGTGAACTATAGGGCCGCGACGTGTACAGGGACTTATTGTTCTTTACTGAACTTTGAGACTGATATTGTCGTATGATCTTACTACATGTTGTGAGTAAGTAAAGTTAGTTATGGAGCTGGTAATGTTTAGAGTTCTAATACAATTTACTGTAAATATACTTCTACCAGAACACATCGTTACAGTGGTAGGAGAGAACCTGGGAATTGATTATGAGGTGCACCACCAGTCTCTATAACCTTGACACTAGTCCAGGGCATATACAACATAACCACACACACACACACACACACACACACACACGCACATACACACACACACATTATATATATATATATATATATATATATATATATATATATATATATATATATATATATATATATATATATATATATATATATATTAATGGCAGCGCCCGACCCTTAGACCCATTATCAGACTCAATGAAAAATTAATCGTATAATGTAACTAATGTAATCTCTTTAAAACATTTGCCCTTTGGTTCAAAGCTCAACCAAGAAGCATTCTTCCAAATGGTGATTTTGTTTAATTATTTGATGTTATATCATCTTTAATATGTGACGATATATTAATAAAAGGGGAAAGTGATTCCCATAAACCTGACAGTCCGATATGGTCAGAGGGGACAGCACATCTTATACAAAGATGTCAGCACAGTGTGGTCAGTATAGCATTTAATATGCTCTCACCCAGAATATCCGCTCCCCTTATTATACGTATAATTTATTCTCCCCCACTTATTATTATACACCTAACCTAACCTAAACTAACATATCGTAAATATATATGAAGTCCTGACTTTTTGGCATTAAAAATAAATGCAATAAGTGGACCTCTATATCATATACAAAGCTAGATAACGATAGATAGTTCTAACTGGGTCAAATACAAAGCTAGTTTTGTCACTTCGTATTACTGGGGAGTGGAAATCCAGGGGAGTGCAAATTATATATGACACTGGCACTGCACCATGCAACTCCTCTACGAAACGGTTTATATAATGGTTGCCCCTCGAGATCGAGGATGGCCGGCCTTAGGGCCACCGAGGCGTGAATTTGTTAAAAGGTGTAGAAGCTGTCGCCAATATATCAACCACACGCTGAGTTAACGTGTTGTATGACCCAGTGTCAAGGAATAGTCCGAGAAGACCGGAAACACATAAGAAGATAAGAATGGAGGAAACTGCAGCGGGCCTATTGGCCCATAGTGGGCAGTCCCGTTTACACCCAACCCCAATCGCTTATATATATCCATCCAACCTATGTTTGAAGTCATCCAGCGTATTCGAGTTAATGATGATGTTTGGTAACTTGTTCCACTTATCCACCACTACTCTATTACCAAAAAAAGGTTTACCTATCTCGCGGACAACTCGCCAAGTGTACTGCATGGCTATCCATTACCCCGGAGCACGATCCGTCAATCGGTTCATTAACATCCAGGTCCCCAATTACTACTGGGTAGATAGAGGCAAATGGCGTAAAGAAACTTGCCCATAGTTTCACCCTGCCCAGGGATCGAACCCGGGTCCACTCGCTTGCGAGGCGGGCATGCTGACTTAACCGGACACCCAGAAACCTAAAACCGAAGCCTCGTTGCCACTCTTAGAAGATACACTTGGGATTATTATTGTAAGTATATTGTTTTGTTCAACAGTACCTCTACGTCATCATAACTTTTCATTATTTACACACTAGGAGTGTTTATCTGATTTTCACTTTTAGATATTGGATGTGTTTTATCTGTGGGCTATTTCTTATCTCTGCACAACAGTATCTACATGTACTGTAGTCTGAACATTCTCATCTAGGAAGTATTATTGATCTTGTGCGTGTGTTAGTGAAGTTAATATTAATTTATAATAATAATAATAATAATAATAATAATAATAATGATTGTGATTAATATAGTTTTTATCACCAATATTACTTATTTTTTAGCATTGGGCTCATGTGCCATGGGATCTCAGATCACATTGCATAAGATAATGTATAGGGCTTAAACTGTCAAAAAGTACGTGCAACTTCACATTATAATTCAAAGTGACTGTTCCAAACAAAAGCTTTAAAGGAAGGGTAAGGAGGTAAAACATCACATTGGATAAATAAGTAACAGCGATAAGGTGACAATGTGAAGAAATGACAAGAGATTGAAAATAAGGAACTAATAGAAAATTATATGGTCACAGTAGTGCAGGGAAGACAGTCATAATACATATAGTCTCACTTTGACGTGATGATAAGTATAAAACAATGTAAGTTGAAAAATACACCAGATATCGACAGACTAACGTAAATAAGTGGAAAACTAGCGAATTTAGAAGGAACTCTTCATTTTCTGACCAGGCGTAGACTAACCTAACGAAGGAGGCACATCAGTGATGGATGGGAAAGAGTCTGAGATGCAGGACAAGAAATTTGAGTAATATCGTGCTGTTTATCTTGGTAGGTGTACTAGGGTGACGGCAGCAGACAGATGGTTCTACAATTAATACAGTTAACTCACCAGTGATGGTAACAACACGAATCAGGACTGTGGACTCTAATGACAATGTTCTTAAAAAATCTAGATATACTAAAGCCGCGATGCAAATAATATATAAGAATACACAAATGGTACATTCCGGTTCTCAAACACTATAAGACACCAGGGACTGATGCCAGTTTAACCCTTAATATGTTAAAATGCTTTCAGAGTGTACAATAATCTTTATACGAATTAAGAAAAAAATACTTAGATTGATTACAAAACCAAAGGTCACAAAGACAGTTACCAGTTTTCAACAAATCGTCTCACCTTCTCAAATTCCTTAATGTCTATCTATTAGATCTTAGTTTACAGTTAACGTTTCTTCCTTTATGACTCACTCCAATTTCTCTCATCAAAACATTATATGCAGATATTAATAGTCATTAAAAGTCGTGCGGAGGCAGAGTGGTGAGAATGATCGACTCCTGTTGTGAGGGTCACTAGTTTTATCTTGCGACACTTCCAGTCCACCCAGCTGTAGATCGGAAACTAAATTTATAGTTGGGGAAGTGCAGTGCCGTCCACGCTGCCTCCTTGCATATATGCATATCGAAGGTTTAGAATAAAATATGTTATATCCACACTGTCCCTAATGAGCTGTCACTTTCACTTTCACAATTATCATGAGCGCCAAGTAAACTGCTGGTGTCATATTTTGTTGGATGTTTGAGGAAATTCAGTGGACGACTGTTTGAGGTTTATCGACCAGTCCATGTATGGTGCTAGGTGTGGGGGGGGAATAGTAGAACATTAAACATTAGTACAAAACACAGCCTTAATGTCTGTGAAAGTTATGTTTGTGTGTGTGTGTTTTATACCAACGAGCTTATGGCGCAGTCAACCTCTAATGGGGACTACCTGTATCACGTGGTCAGAGTAACGTTTTACCAAATCCGGCTTCGAAACACGAGGATCCATATATATATCATTAGCCCAATAAAGCACGCGGACTTTTACATACAATCAACACCTCCACTCGCCAGGATTCGAACCCATGGCCCACGAGCCCATGACTGTGACAGGTGAACGCTAACAGCTGTACCACCAGGATACAAAAGGAATCCTAGACTTTGTTATATTTCACATAAAGCCTGTTCAACGAGCTTATGGCGCCGTGAACCTCTAATGGGGACTACCCATATCACGTAGGTGGTCAGATTAAAGTTTTACCAAATCCGGCTTCGAAACACGCACGAGGATCCATATATATTTCATTAGCCCAATAAAGCACGCGGACTTCTACATACAATCAACACCTCCACCAGTGTTTTCTTGTGGTTATCAGCATATATATATATATATATATATATATATATATATATATATATATATATATATATATATATATATATATATATATATATATATATATATATATATATATATATATGCTGATAACCACAAGGAAACAAGAAAACACGAAGTTCCCAAGCGCTTTCGTGTAATTCACATCATCAGGGTTGTGAGTACAGACTAAGGAGTAATACTTGACAAGGCTAATATATACAGTAGAGGAGAGCGAGATCAAGTCCCTAGAAGACAGCAGGTGTCCACAATGTTTTGGTCACACAGGAAAAAAAGGAAACAATAGCGCACCTCAGCTTTCGTCTTTATTCAAGAGATCTTCAGAGGCAACAGAATTACAACTGAATCCACGTTTCCATTGTGGATCCACATGATATATATATATATATATATATATATATATATATATATATATATATATATATATATATATATATATATATATATATATATATATGTATATATACCTGTACAAATCCTTATAGCCACATAGGAAACAAGAAAACAAGAAGGTCCCAAGCGCTTTCATGTAATTCACATCTTCATGGGTTATGGTGTTTGGAGGTCTGCTGTACACGTGTCACACAATTCACAGGTGTGCTGTTGCCAAGATGTATTGGCGTCATACTCAGTGGTAACTATTTCACGGGTATTAATTAATTTGAGTAATGAAGTAAACACATCTTAACTGATGAGTTAACACTTAGTGTTTAGTTAAGCATTCACCAGCTTAAAGAACGTCTTAATCCCTTCATCTAACACATGTGTATTTGCTATATTTTAAATATTTCAACAAATACACATGAGCAACTCGGCATTTTTGTGATGCATTGTGGTGAACGAGGGGGAAGGGGGGGGTGAAGTAGTTTAAATACACATGCAAAGAGGAGGAGAAACCACAGCACGATTACTCACACAACTGTTTCAACGTAAGTATTGTGTGTCAAGTATTCACAGTAAGTTGTATTAGAACTGTAAACTTTACCAGCGCCATAACTAACTTTACTTAGTCCGGTATTCACAACATGCAGTAAGATCATACGACAATATCAGTCTCAAAGTTCAATAAAGAACAATAAGTCCCTGTTCACGTCGCGGCCCTATAGTTCACTAATTGTCTCAGAAGTTACTCCATTGTTGCTTTGTTCCTCACACCACAAGCTTTGTGCTCTGAATATTTCATTTCTTACACATTTAACTGTTGCATTACCTGTGAGTATAATGCGTATTTTGCTGTTTTACTGGATGCAAGATTCTTTATTTACTGATATTCGGTCTCCTGTATATTACCTATAAAGATAAACTACGCAACTACCGGATACTGTATTATCATTTTACGGGTTTAGTAGACGCGACATTTCTTATTAAAACTTATTGCATATTTTCGCATTTATGAAGAGAAACAATGTTAACACGTACTATATTACTTCAATATTTTCTCTACTTGATCACTATTCTCCTGCAGTTATTATCTCATAATATTCACAAGTGTATAGAAACTTGGAGACGCATTCTATACTGTAGATATAAAAAAATACAGCGCAGTTGATGTGAAGTTTAAATAGGCAATTTTAAGTAAATAAAGTATTAAAAATACTGCGCTCAAATTAAAAGATCGAGAACTTGCAACTTGAAAGACGGCGAAATAAAAATACAAATATGAGTTGATGAAATTTACTCCTTAGTTCAAATGTAAATAAATTAAAAGTAGGAAAAGGAGAATTCTGGAGTAAAAGAGCCATTTTGACATACAGTTTTCCGTGTTCAAATATAATAAAGTGTAATGATCATGAGTTGACATGAGCGTTATAACTTGTAGTTACCCCGAGAACGTGTACCTCCCAGCATCTCAATAAATTCCAACTCTTAAAAAACTCATGATCCAAATTAAATTTTTCTTGCACCTTTTTTAATATATCAAAAATCTCGCCCTTTGATTTAAAAGGGACCGGTTAAAAGGGATTTAATATTAATAGTGAAAAATAGTGTAGTCAATAATTTATTACCAAATGAAAGGAACACAAACAAAATGTGTCTTTGAAAATAGCCAAACACTTTCTTTATTTATTACAGTTACGTTTTATTTACGGATCTCTATCGTTGCTTAGCCGGGAAAAATATGACAGATTTACAGAGAGGGAGAGATAAGTTTCCTAATATTTACATAGCCTGACCGTTTGGAATGAAGACGTAAGACAAGCCATCAAATCATTTGCCTAGCATGAAGTCATGCCATTCACCAAGAGGAGACAATTATCGATACATCATCATTATCATCTTTTTAAATCGTGTAGTCAATGTTTGAAACGATAATTCGGATTACTCGCCGCCAGAACTGTCCCTTCTCTCTGCATGAAGTTATAATTATGAATGATTTGAAGGACATTAGCTTCATGAAAATGGATATTTTAAGCTCTACGAGATGGTATGTAATACTGTTAAACATAGCAGTAATTAACTTTATTAACCCTGGAAAACTTCTTCAGGTGTCAGTGAAAAGTGAGAGTTGACTCAGAATGATGATGATGAAGGTACTACTGACGGTGGGGGTGATGGCGGTGACGACGTTCGCAGAAGAAAAGGGCAATGGCAGATCTGACCTTGTCAAGTACACCATCAATCCTGGTGGACAGGTCCTTATCAAGTCACCAGAAAACCTCACTCATAGCGAGTAAGATGATACTGTTACCAGCACAGGTGTTGCAACCACCAACCTTACCAACACAGGTGTTACATCCACCACCATTGCCAACACATGTGTTCTGTCATAATTATCTGCACAACGTCCATCCATCACAGATGTTCCCTCATAATTACCTACACAGATATTCCATTTTGCACATTTACGATTATATGTGTTCCATCACAATTACCACCAAAAGCATTCCATTTTCTTTAATTGAGATAATATTATTTATTCCCTCCTACAGGTACGTAGTTGAGTGTCACAAGGTTGATTTTACTACCTTGAAGCTGGTACCCGGGGTAACAACCTTTCCCGACTGTGACAGAGAAAGATTCATAATTTCCACGAATAATACCAGGGACATAGAGTGAGTTAAATGTTGTTTTATCAACTTACCAATACAGTACTTCTATCATGACGTCAACTTTTATTATTATTACTACTACTCTTACTACTAATGCTGTTTCTTTTATAACTTTTACTACTACCACTATTAATTATATTACAGTATTTTCTACAACTATTAATATTACCATATATTATTATATATCATATAATGCAAGTGATATTTCAAGTACTACTAGTATATCAGTTTTACTACTACTAATACTACTACGACTGTTACCATCAACCATGGGGAATTTACAACAACTACTTAGTGCATTATAATTATAATTATTTTTACAATTGATTTATTTTAATGAATAGAGACCGGATGTTTAGGCAACAAATTGAAAAAAAAATCTTCTATAATAGGCAACTGATAACGGAAAAAAACCTTACAGTACATTACTTCAAAAATCATCTTACAAATATGATACAGATTACCTCACTAGTAGTGAACAAAACTGTAGATAATAGCTAATTTTCGTCATATTTTCCAATTGAAACTTGATTCCTAATTGAGAATAAAAAACTAGATAAAGCAACTCTTGATTGGGCGTCACATTTTCCACGAGTTCTCAAAACTGAAACTTTGTGTTAGAAAGAAGATGTAAACGAAGTTTTCAGCGTAACTATTAGTTTAATTTCATGTATTTTGGTTTAATTCGTCACTGGTATCAAAGCTATACGGTACAGCCAGTCAAGGTTTAATAAAAAGTAAATATATTCTGGTTGAGGTCGTGCGTTTTTACTGTAATACTGTATCAATTGCAGAGTCACGTTGAACATAGTGTATTGCAATTGCATTTAAGCCTATTGGTATATTGGTAGATTGTTACAATTACTAAATAATTACTTGAAATTATGTAATTAATTAAAATTAATAATAATACTAATACTACTACTACTAATAATAATAACAACAATAATAATAATAATAAAGCAACACCAACGACTACTAACACTGCAGTGGTTACTCCTCTTGCTGACACAAAGTGCTCGTGAACAAAGTGACTGGATGTCTGGTCAATAAATAACAATATAATTCAACTATAAATACGCTAATTCCTTAGATAATCGAAATATTTCCGACCATTAATATTCGGTTATTTCGGAAACTGAGAATATTCTCATGATTATTATTCTATTCTTTCTGATACATAATCTATCTACCACCAGTGATAAAATAATACTTCTGATAACTGGAATACTTCATTTGTCCTCTTTATCACCATTTTCTTATTTACATAACTTTTTGCTATCACTATAACTTGCTCCTGTCACTATAACTTGCTCCTACCACTATAACTTGCTCCTGTCACTATAACTTGCTCCTACCACTATAACTTGCTCCTGTCACTATAACTTGTTCGTCACTATAACTTACTCCTATCATTATAACTTGCTCCTGTCACTATAACTTGCTCCTACCACTATAACTTGCTCCTGTCACTATAACTTGCTCCTACCACTATAACTTGCTCCTGTCACTATAACTTGTTCGTCACTATAACTTACTCCTATCATTATAACTTGCTCCTGTCACTATAACTTGCTCCTACCACTATAACTTGCTCCTGTCACTATAACTTGCTCCTACCACTATAACTTGCTCCTGTCACTATAACTTGTTCGTCACTATAACTTACTCCTATCATTATAACTTGCTCCTGTCACTAAAACTTTCTCCTGTCACTATAACTTGCTCCTGTCATCAAAACTTGCCCCTGTCATTATAACTTGCTCCTGTCATTATAACTTGCACCTTTCATAATAACTTGCTCCTGTCACTATAACTTGCTCCTATCAATATAACTTGCTCCTGTCATTATAACTTGCCCCTTTCATTATAACTTGCCCCGGTCACTATAACTTTCTCCTGTCACTATAACTTGCTCCTATCAATATAACTTGCTCCTGTCATTATAACTTGCCCCTTTCATTATAACTTGCCCCGGTTACTATAACTTGCTCCTGTCACTATAACTTGTTCGTCACTATAACTTGCTCGTCACTATAACTTGCTCATGTCACTATAACTTTCTCCTGTCACTATAACTTGCTCCTGTCATCATAACTTGCCCCTGTCATTATAAATTGCTCCTGTCACTATAATTTCCCTGTCAATATACCGTCGTCACCATAGCCCTCTAATAATCTATCACTATAACCTCTCTGTCGCTATAATCAGCATATTCTTCCAATGTTACAATGACCTCATTATCTCGGCCTATAATTAACATGGGGTGGTGTTACTCTCGATAGGGTCTGTGCAAATAATAAGTGGCAGGATCTACAGAACACCGGAACGTCTAATGGCTGGATGAAAATCAAGTACCAGCTCCTGCAGGGTGTACGGTCCACTGCGTTCCAATTTGTCGTCAAGTGTTCGAGAGTAAGTCAGATGAATAGCATGAAATAGTGTCTCAAGCAACTGCCTCTATTCTTTAAAAACACGACTGTACGAGGACCACGATGAGATTTTTTTTTAGGGATATGTTCATTTTAAGGAGTGATATTTTGTTTCTCACTATTCAGTGTATATGGACTCGGAAACCCAATCACATCTTCCTGACTAATACTAACAGAATGTAAACTATTAATAACATAACCTGGATTTACAAAACACTTGGGAGAGAAGACCAACCATTTATCCCCTCGTCAGCTACAGTCTTTAACCTGATTTAGTCCACCTTATACATTACTTTAATAACTGAAACCCAAAGTAAAGAAGCCTAACCTAACCTATTAACCTAACTTATTCTAATGTAGTTTAACTAACCCTGAACCCAAGTTAACTAAACTCGTGGTACTAAAATATACATTATTCATTCTATACTGAACAGTATGACATACAGTATATACAGTACATACAGTATGAAATATGCATTAATATACACTCGTAGATAAATAATAATTAATTTACTTTAATTAGATACAGAAAATATGCAGTATATGCTGAATAAAATATACAGTATATGGTGAATAAGATATATAGTATATGGCAATGCTTATTGACTGCTACTTAAATATGCTGTAAAATATAGAAAATATTATATTCCTGGCTGATGTCAACTTTCATGATATATTATGAATTTATCTCCTAAAAACCTCTTTTGATCTCGTGCGGTGTATTAACAGAATAGAATAAAATATTGCAACACAAATAGCGTTTTTATCATCCTTACTGTGTATGGCCTGAAGTGGTGATATGTATGAGCTTTATAAGTAAATCTTTTCATCAAAAACATGGAGAAAGGTTAATTATTTTTTGTACTGACTTTTCGCTATATAATAAAAGAGCATTAACATATATATATATCAGGTATGTGGTATTTCTTTATATTAACGTTTATTCCTATATCATTTCTTACAAATGCTTTCATTAGAAATTCTGAATATTTTATATATTTGACGATACTAACTAATGTGTTGTCTAATGGTGGACCCTGCTGCCATATGGCATCACAAAAATTGTGACCAAGTCCCAGGTTGCTGATCTGAATTCTGCCTCATTTACACACAATTGCAGGAACTCAGTTGTTTCTCTTACAAGTTACTACGCAACATACGTATATTGTTTCTCATTTTTTCTTTTATTTTCAATTTTGTATTTCTTTATTATTATTGTTATTATTACAGTAGAACGCCACCCTCCGGGAGGCTCCACATTGTCTCACTGTTCAGTCCCCAAAACTTCTTCTTCCATCAATAGTTCATTAATGGTGTATGTACGTCCCACCATGTTTTTCACTACAACGGTACAACAAAGCATATTTCTTTAGCATTAAACTGCTATTATTTTATTGTCTAATCATAACTACATATAACACCACACATCATCACTACATATAACAACATCCATCATCACTACATAAAACACCATCCATCATCACTACATATAACATCATTCATCATCACTACATATAACATCATCACTACACATAACACCATCATCCATCACTACATATAACACCATCCATCATCACTACATATAACACCATCTATCATCACTACATATAACACCATCCATCATAACTACATATAACATCATCATCATCATCACTACATATAACACCACCCATCATTACTGCATATAACAACATCCATCATCACTACATATAACATCATCATCCATCATCACTACATATAACACCACCCATCATCACTACATATAACACCATCCATCATCACTACATATAACATCGATCATCACTGCAGATAACACCATCCATCATCATCACTACATATAACACCATCCATCATCACTACAGATCGGTAAAGTAGTTTCCGAGATTCTCGTGCGGACACATACACACAAACACACACACAGACATACTTCTTTGTTATATATATATATATATATATTTCTTTTTATTGGGCACCCCCCTACATCCTTGTGTAAGGTGAAGCGCAGAAGCGTTTACAGCGCCCAACAGGGAAGCATGCTAAGTTCATGCTTGCCTTTATGTCTCATGAGTTAAGGGCGTAGAAGCCTGAAGAGTCAAGGGCGTAGAAGCCTGAAGAGTCAATGGTTTATGTCATCAAGTTATTGGAAGCTCCAACAACTTCCTTAAAACGAATTTTAAATT